TGTGTGTGTGTGTGTGTGTGTGTGTGTGTGAGGCTCATACACATGTCGATATTAAGTGTAAATAACTCAGAATGAGCTGATGGACTCTTGAGTTTAATCCGAGCAGCTGCTCAGTGAGATGCAGCACAGATGCTTCTTATCTGTGATCAGTGTGTTTACCTTCAGACAGCTTTAACTTGATTTAAAACTCATAGATGTAAAAACATGGCTCAGATACTATTGGAGAACCTGGTTGGTGTCATTTGTTGCCATCAGGCTGTAAGCATGTGCTTTTTATATCAGGAGATAAACTGAGTTTAGAGCTGATCAGTGTCTTAAAATGGAACTGCAGCGCTGGCCAGTGTGAAGCTTCTGACAATAAAAAATGCACATGTGAACTTTAATTTGTGTCATACTTGTTACAGCTGGCTTTTTTCAATTTATTGGTTGCATTATTATTATTATTATTATTATTAATAATAATTAATTTAGGATTTTCAGTGGAGGGAACCCCATTGATGATGTAAGTCTCAAAAACTCACAAAGACTCACAAATATGATCCACCAGGTGTTAAGGAGTTAAAGACTTCAGCAAATGAAACAGAAACAATCAACAGTTTCTCCAGACCCCTGTCAGTGTCAGTGTATCTACAGGAAATGTTACAAAATGATGATTTGGTTAAAAATGTCTGCCAACTGACTTCTTCCTGAAGCCCTATCAGCTCGCTGATCACATGAAAACCTGCAGAAGCACTTTGGTTAACAGCAGCTCTTCTGAATGGAGCTGCTGATAGTTTTTAAGCTGATTTTACTGCTCAGGGGACGAGCTTTCATGTTCCAGAGCAACTGACATTAACTTCAACTATGGACCCGCCTCATCTGCAATAATTCAGCAGTCGTGAATGCACAAGTACAAAAGTCAGCCATTACTTTTATGTAACTCTGGGTATAATCGGCTCTGCTCACAACCTCTTGAGATTCTGAGAAGCGAAGCTGATTTTAAAAAATGAGTCCAACGTCTAACATCATCACTTTTCTTTTTCTCGTGTCTTTTTTTTCCTCCAGACGTCCCACAGCAGCCTGTCTGTAAGAAGGAGGAGGAGGAGGAGGAGGTTCTCCCTGAGCAGCAGCTCTGGAACCAGGAGAGGAGCTCCAGTGTGGAGGAACCAGAAGCTCCACAGATTAAAGAGGAAGAGGAGGAACTGTGCAGCAGTCAGGAGGGAGAGCAGCTGGGACTGAAGGAGGAGACGGATACCTTTATGGTGACTGTTGCTGAGGAAGGAGACGACAGTGAACCGGAAGAAAACACTGACCAGCTCCCCTCTCACAGCTCTGATATTTTTACGTTTCTTCAGTCCAAATCTAAAGAAATATTTGAAGTTATTAATAATTCTATCCAGTACGAGGAAGAGAACGACCATCAGCACAGACTCAAGGATATCAGCTGGAAACCCGAAATACAGCTTCACATTACAGGTATGTAAAAGTCTGAATGAAGTCACACGTGAATGGGACTCATGGAGGATCCTGATCACAGCTCTGCGGGACATTTCTGATTGTGAGGACTTTTTGGAGATGTGAGCTAACAAAGAGTAAACAGAGGACAGGACTGCACTGTTTAAATTATGAATCTAAATCATGATCAACATGTTTGAAGGAGGTCAGGAGAGAGGTCTAACAGTCAGCGTCTACACCCTTCTGTTGAACACGGTGGAGGTGCTGTCATGGTTCGCGCTGCATTTCAGTCAGTGTTGTTGGAGCTCATATTAAAACTGAAGGAATTATAAATGCAGAAAAGTAAATGCAGATTTAATCGACCGTACAATATCACCTTGAGACTGGACATGGCTTGATTTTCAGTCTGAGCATGATCACAAACAGTCTGATGATGCATCATAAGGTCATCTTTGTTGATGTATTGTTACTGTTAGAAAGTTGGTTTGTCGTGTCATACTGATCGTTTATTCATTCAGTATATGTTTCCTTTACTGCTGCACGTCTGCTGATGTTCCTCTGTTGATGAGCTTATATCTGGAGTAGTGGATGACACTTATAGTCTCTGTAAAAGTGTTATTTTGACAATGTATTTTCTCAGGCATGTTTTTTCTATTATCACATCACAGAGGGAGAGCAGCTTGGACTGAAGGAGGAGACTGATAACTTTGTGGTGACTGCTGCTGAGGAAGGAGACCACGATGACCCAGAAGCAAACACTGACCAGCTTCTTTATCACAACTGTCCTATAAATGAGAGCCAAAATCTTGAAGGAAGCTGGAATTTAGATTTGGGGACAAATAGTAACTCAGAGAATCTGTGTAACTCTGACACAGGTAAAAAGTATTTAATGTGTGATTTTTGTGGAAAATCCTTTAAGGAAATGTACAAAATGAATCGACATCTGACAATCCACACAGGTAAGAAACCATATCCTTGTGAAACATGTGGGAAAAGTTTCACAGTGAAGGGTAGTCTGACTGTACACATGAGAACACACACAGGTGAGAAGCCGTATTCTTGTGAAACGTGTGGGAAAAGTTTTTATTTGTCATCATCACTTAAAGACCATAAGCTTGGCCACACAGGTGAGAAACCATATTCTTGTAAAACATGTGGGAAAAGTTTCAGACACAGGGGTGATTTAATTGTGCACAAGAGAGCACACACAGGTGAGAATCCGTATTATTGTAAAATATGCAGGAAGATATTCGGACGTAGAAGAAGTTTATTGGCACACATAAGAAGGCACACAGGTGAGAAGCCGTATTCTTGTGAAACTTGTGGGAAAAGTTTTTATTTTTTATATTCACTTAAAAGACATATGACTGTCCATACAGGTAAGAAGCTGTATTCTTGTAAAACATGTGGGAAAAGTTTAACACAGAGGCGTAGTTTGATTATACACATGAGACTGCACACAGGTGAGAGACCGTATCATTGTAAAAGATGCAGGAAAAAATTTATAAGTAGTAGTCGTTTATGGGCACACGTGAAAAAAGCACACAAGTGAGAAACCGTATCATTGCAAAAGATGTGGGAAAATGTTCCCATACAGAAGTCATCTGTTTGGACACACGCGTACTCACTTCGTTGACAAAGCATATGTTTGAGAAGTCGTAGTCTTGAAGCATTTAGAGAACAACATCTGAGAAACCAAGCGTAACAGAAGATCTAAGGATTTATACAGGTTCACAGGAGAGCTGTTCAGGGAATATTTACCTATTGGGTGGTTGAAACTCAATTTGAATATCAAGTTTTATATTTGCTGTCTATTTGTGGATAGCTGATAGCTTTTGCTGAATTTGGAGTTGGTGTCTTGTGATGTAAAACTGCATTTGAGCTATTTGTTTTTTAATAAATAGAAAATGTTGACTTTTTTAAATTTTGTTTTTTACATTTTGTAGCTGTTCAGTTTATTTGGTTCATATCATTTTTGGTTATTTAGTTCATTTAGACTGACTTTGTTTTGTTTTTGTTTGTTTTTTACTTTTCAGTTTTGTAAGAATGTAGACGTTGTTATGCGTTGTTATCATCAGGTTATACCAGTACCAGCATTGGGGAGGGTCTTTGTCTTGTGTTTTATCTGCATAGCAGTAACTAATGAAAGAATATTTTGACAGTAATAAAGTAGAACATTTGTTTCCCTTGGACTCCTCCAGCCTGCAGCAAAGACATCGTTCCTGTAGCTGCACATATGTTTCTCTGCTTGAGAGCACAGTGTGAGGCAAAGATGTTTTTCCTGCATCATGGGGACCTGCCAGAGCTGAGGAAGGCTGGTTTGAGCTCAACTTTCATTCAGCATCGCTTTAAAAGATCAAAGAGGGTTTTAAGCAGAGTAGAATAAGATGGAATAGGGATAAATGAAGATAACTGTTTGCTTCAATTGTATCCTTTATAACTGTTGAATAGTTTTTTATATATTATTGCTGTTAGCCTTCTGCCTGCATTAAATAAATTCAATCTATGATTATATTAAAGCCCACCTGTCCTTACTTTATTTCATTCAGTAGTTTCTTTCAGTAGTCTTTCCTGAGTGATGTAAAATCCAGATTGTGTGTTAAAGAAACAGTTTTCCCCTTTACCTCCATCATTTTGGTTTGTGCACCTGAACTTTATTGAAAACTGTTACACAGGGGTCTATGTCTGTTCCTGAGACTCCTCCCACCTGAATGCTGCCATTATAAAGCCACTTAAACTCGGTCCTTAAGATGTTTCATATGATATATCTGGCACTATGGGACCATGAACACGGACTGATTCTTAACTAACTTGTTGATTCTAACTTGTTGCTAGTTAGTGAAAAGAAAAAAACTTTCTTGCCGCGAGGCAGGGATGCTAAACACTGTGCCACTCTCTTACCTGTGTGTTAAAGATTTACAACAAAAGTCTTAGTGTGAATTCTCAAAACAAGATTTTACAGCAAAAAATGGTTACAAGAAAAATACAATGTCATCTCAAACAGTGTCATGGTGATATAAATTTGCCTGTAGCATAAACCTATTCGCTGGAACGTTCAAGACAATTCAGTTACACAGCAAAAAGCATTGAACACCAAGCAGGCAAAGTTATTTATGTTTCTCGTATACGAGGGAGGCCCGAGCCGAGTGTCGTTCCTTCCACTTGACCTCGCTTTTATTGAAGTTACATGAATATACATAGGTTCATTAACATATGATGTATACATACAAATAAAGAGTACCTCGCCTGTGCGTTGTGTGCAGGTTTCTACTTTTTGGGTTTTGTCATGGTCCTCAGTCTGGTGACTCAATGTTTAGGTTTTTAATTATTAATATTCTTTGATTCAGTTAGTTTCTGGTTATATTTTAGTGATTTTTAGATCTTAGGTTCCTTCATCCTGCCTGCCATGACAGGTTTATTGTTACAACCTGGTGCCCTCGTGGTTTACTTTGGTGAAGCTCGCTCACTGTGAGAAGCTTCCACATTAACAACATGTTAGCATGTGGCTGTAAGATTCCACAGGACTATTTGTTTATGCTGCTGTGACATGTAGCACACACACATGAAGTGGACAGGCTTATTCATACATATACTACTCACCCGGGAGGCTGACTGGCCCGTCGTTGGTCAAGACTGAGAACTCAGTGAAAATCAGATGATTCTTATTCATGGAAGGCTGATCATTGCATCCAATTCAAATGTTCCTCTACTCTGGAGAGGTTTCTGAAGAAAACAATACTGATGAAGAAAGGCATGAAAAACATTTATTTATTTTTTTGTTTTATCTTTTTTGTGTTACAGATGGTCAGAATCCCCTTTCCTGCAGTAAAGACTTGCACCCATACCTGCAGAGGCAACTGTTTGTTTAATAGTTTTTAATTTTTCTTTATTTTGATATTTTTTGTGCATCATTTTAATACTGATGCTGTGCATTGGGTTTTTGTTAAAATCTAGACATGATTTGGCTACTTTAGAATCCAAAGACGGGTAAAGGGCCACCATGCACTCGGGAGATTTTGGGTTGCTTTTTTTACACAGCAGCACAGGAGTGCAGTTTCTCCGCTTGTCTGTGTCAAAGATTTTCAAAAAGCAGATGCTGATTAAAAATCCTCACAGGCTGTTTTTGGTCGTTCGTACTCCCTCAGCCTGAAGTAAAGATGCTTTTTCTCCTTCATGGGGACCAATCACAGCTGACAACAGCTGCCTCATTCAACTCATTCACAATAAATCCTTCAACAATTTTTGTTTCAAACAAACAACTTTCACTTCAAACAACTATTTGTAACTTTTGTCACTAGACTGCTTCATTAGTTTGCTACACTTCTTCAAAAAAGCAACGAGTTAAACAGAACATGAACGTGGCCAGACATGGGAAAGAAAGTTTAGTCTTATAAAAATAAAATGTGTTTGGGTCTCGTGCCCCAGTCCTGGGTTTCAGCACCACTGTAAAAGATGCACAACAGACCCGACCACATGATCACACTTTTTAGTACACTCCTTTATTGCAACTGTCGACTTACACACGTGGCTGCAGCTTTTCAGCAGATGCTTAACATGTTTTTCTGCCAGGTAACTTGTGCCCCACCTGTCAGAACCCCACCAGTGGCGCACGCCACATACTTTGAGAATAACTGTTTTAAGCTCATCTATTATCCAGCCATGTTTCAAGATCCAAGGTGGCTACAAGTACAGGAAAAGAGAACCAAGGACAGATTGGAATAGTTGACTTTATTATTTTTTTCTGAATGCATTTATAAGTGCTGCAATAAAACAAAACCACTGGTTAAAATAAATCTGCCCTGCTCTTATTGTATCAGTGGTTTCTTTAAAGTGTCAGTAGTCTCTCCTAAGTTATGTAGAAATACAGATTTTGTGGCAAAATCAGATCCTTAGTTGAAGCTTCTAAACAGTTCCATATAAATTGCACATAACTAAGAACATAAATTAACATTTTAGTATTAAATGCATAAATATGTATTTAAAATCAGTGGGTTTTGAATTTCAGCTGTGTGAAATTGCTTTTTTATTTCTTTGTGTCTGAATGTTCCTACAGTTGGTTTGTGGTTGATGTGGATTTGCTGCTCATGTGAATCCTCCCACAGTGTTTCATTAGCAGCTGTAACCACAGTGACTCTG